ATCACATAAAGAGCCCTTTCTCAGTTTGTTCTAAACCATGAACTTGCCCACATTTAAAGCCAAGCGTAAGCATTGATGGGCCCAGAACTCACCAGATTCTCCTAAGACAATTGAAAGATAAACACTCTTTAAAAGGCAACAGCACACACAACACATGGGACTGAAAGATATTCTAAGGCCCTTGAAAAAGCCAAGTCTAACTGTTGGGGAAGGTTTCCCCACTAAGATTCAAATCTCTGTCTGATAGATTCTTCCTACTGTCCACAACACCTGCCACATGAAAGATTCCATTTTAATAAAAGATGTGCACGTCAAAAAAAGCACATTAAAGGTATTAACTACTGATTATGGACATCAGCTGCATAAATAATCTTTCACAACCACGGTACCCAAAGGAAATCTTCTATGCAATTAAAAATGAGTGTAAAAAAAAAATATTTAAAGTAACAACAAGCGTGGAAACACTGTGCTTTTGCAAGGATCTTATTTTAAACAAAATTCTGAGCAACTATACCCAGGCTCCTGCTATTTCACTTTTATGGACAAAAAATCCTCTGCTGCTCTCAATGCATATCCCCAGCTGGTTTCAAAGGTATTATGCTGCTCACTGTTCCCAGCTCGGCTCTGACTGGCCAGCTGCTGTGTTGCTAACTTCATTCCAAAAGTTTTGCATCAGACCATCACAGTTTATTCTAAACGCTATTTAGTTACACTAGAATTTTAACCCCAACTAGAAAAGAGCTAGAATTCATAAGGTTACCATGTAGCAGAAATTATGACAATAAACCTATTCAGTATAAGCCCCACTTAATATATCATATTCTAACACATAATGTTATCAGGTATTAAAGAAGATATTTGCTTTCAACTCTCTCTCTCTCAGACACACACAGAAAACAGATCTGAAATTACTGATCAGCAGAAATGACCAAAAGACTCACTTTCTTTTGCATAGATGTAACAGGAGCCACAGCAGCACTTTGGTGCATTTTTGACAGATTTTAATCTCAAACTCTAATCACTAGACAATAACCATGCAGTTGAAAGCTGAATATGAAGGTACAGTTTTATATCCATTCTTTGAAGCAAAACATAGGAAATTAATACAGATTATACTTCAATGTCAATGTAAAAGTGAAGGCCTTCTTTTAGTTTGCTTTTGCAGGTGCTGTCAACAGAACAGACAATAATACAATATTTAGGCTTCACTAGAACTAAAAGTGACAGCAAGCTCTACAGTAATCGCCCACTACACTCACTTTCTAACCATTTTTACTTTCCTCCATTCTCAAACTTAGAACTGCCTGTTACATTTGATGGGAAATGCCATGAAGCTGCAATAACAGCAGCTCACATCGTGAAATGGGATGCTCTTTCACTGAGGGCCACTTTCCCCACCAGCCTGTGTTTCCCTCCTCTTACATTTCAGAGCTTCTTGCTCTTCCCTATTTGCCTTCACTTCCCAAGGAAAAGCAGGAGACAAATTGGCAATGGTGCTTTCCTCTTATATAGTTTCCTTTTTCTGAAAATGAAAGGAACTGTTTGCAGTATGTAGGAGATTTTCAGCCATACCCTTTCCCTGTTCTGTTTATGAAAGATCACATATGCAATCATACATTATGTTATTGTAAGACACTTTAGGGCAAAGACACACTGTAAAAAAGAAAATGCTTCCAGGTATTAACCAATGCAAAAGTAATTATCTGGATTCCAAAGAAGTTTTTGCACCAGTAGATATGCATATGCCATTACTGTATATACAAATTATACATGCAAATGACTTGTGATTATTCCTATGCACAGTTATCCCATCTGCACCTGCAAGCACGATATTTGCATATAAAAATTAAGTTGGTGTACATGTTTTGTTTGGTTGGTGCTTGTTTGTTTTTAAAACACATTGTCCATGTTCATTTAAATTCCAGTAGAAACTCAACATTTTTATTAATTACTAGCACACTCTCAGGGTAATTGCAATAAAATGCTACCATGTATAACCAGCCTGTCCACACTTCCTTCAAGAAACGTAACAAAAGAGCATCAACAAAAAAACTGAAAGAAGAAGTGAGACACTGAGTCACAGTAGCTAATTCAAACACTTGAAAGTAAAAACAAAAATTTAAACATAGGTGAAATGGAACTTTTATATCTGTTAAGAGGTAGGAAATCATCAGGAACATATCAAATATCGCTCTGATTCAGATCACAAGGCAGCTCTGCTGAGTGGAGGTTTGGTCCAGTGTCACACACCTCCTCAGCCATGGTCTACAAGCTGGAAGCCCCTTCAGCACGTTTCGGGCATCTCTCATGCAATGGTTTTACAATAAACGGCATCTATTTTTCAGGGGGACTATTCATCCTTTCTCATCTCTCCATTGCTACGGTTACATATGCAACACCAGAGAATGTATTTACTATGATTATTTGAGAATTAATTCTATCAGCCTACATATGGTGCTAAATAATTTCAGAGCTCTTCCTTCTTACAAACAACTAAACCGTTACTTGAAACAGAAATACTGACTTGTGGAAATCAGGCTCATGCAGTCACTAGTTTATTATAGAACAGCTTATTTCATACTTGCAACGCTTCTCATAGAATTGAAGAAAAACCCCTACAGTACAATAAACAAACTACAAAATGTTGCATCAGAGTCTACATCTTCAGTTCATTAGAAACAAAAATTCAGTCCCATTAGCTCCCTTCCTTGAAGATGCTCTTTTACACTAACCATGTTTAGCAGCAGTTTGCTCCAGCTGACCTTAATTTAATCTATTTTTCACAGAAGGATTGCTTCAGGGTTAAAACATTTTTTGTTGCTAACCACTGCACATGTTCTAGTGCTTGGCCCTAAAGATCTTACATCTTTCTGAGAATATTTGCCTCACAAAAACAACATGCGAGTTATCATTTTTTAAAATATATAATTGATTTGTAATTACTAACAGGGAGAAATACCATTGCTTGTGTTTGCTAACCTAATTGTATAATATATTGTTCAAGTCTTAATGTATTGCCTCAAGTGATCACCACTTAGGCATCAACAGGCTAGAGTAAATAGAGTGACAGCAGGAAGTCAGGGAGATACCATTACCCAGTTCTTGCTGTAATAAATGATATTATTTCTGACTCTTGTTCAGTCCATTAATGCAATTTCCAAGGGGTTCTCCCCCAGTGGGATGCAGACCAGGTGTCAGTGCTCTGAAGCAGGATCATACTTTGTGACACAATTTGCCTTCCTGGAAATTTTGTGCCATACGCTTGGTTAAATGTGGAGATCGTCTAATTCATGCACAAACGTCACTTTGCAATCACCCATGGGTGCACTCACATACGCATTTGTGGGCACCCACATACGCAATAGCCCTTGCTCTAGAAAATTCCAATATTTGAAACCATCTCAAACAACAACGCTACGCTATCAGCCTGCATCTTACTGTTCTGACATTCTCTGTCGAGTGCTTTGTGATTCTTAAGGCAACACTAATCTGAGTGCAGCAATTTCCTCACAGCTGAAATGTCAGCATCAGCACCACAGTAAAACTTCAATAACTGTCTTTGTCACTAACAAAGAACACTGAGCAAATTACAAAAATAGCAATTAGTTGGGCATGATACATAGGGCATACCCTAAGCCACGTAAAGTCAAAACAGTGGCCATACCTCAGTAAGCTTTGGAGTGGTTCCCTAGGGCACGGTTCATATCTATAATGTGTCCCCATTACATCAGGCAAAGTATGCCATTACAAAGTAGGGAAATAGCCCCTTTACTTGTAGCTTCTAGATTTTTTTCTCAGCATCTCTATTAGTCACTCTTCCAGCCTTCATTTTTTATATCAGCTAATACATTTAAATGACCTTTCTTACTAATTTATGTTCCTATGAGGGCTACGTGAAGAAAGGTCTCCCAAGGCACTGATCATGAGGTTTGTTGATTCTTCTACTCTTCTATCTATTAACAAGACTTGAGCTAGAAGTCTTAGGTAACAAATTTTTTGAGCCGGATTCTGATTCAGATTTGGTGAAAATGCAAGCTCTAGGGTTTAGTGCCCAGAATTGTTCAGGGTTAGTTTGGTTTTAAGTTCAGTATGAATAATTGTGGTATAGGCTTGAAAACCATTCATTTTTTTTCACTTGCAAATTAAATTTCCAACTCATCCACAGATGAGTCTTCTTATTGCAGATTTCAGGCCATGTTCTTACAGCATTTTTTCAATCCTAAAACCCACCTGTCTGGATTCTTCCCCAAAGACAAAATATTTACACAGATAATCAATATCGTATTTTTATGAAGAGACAGTTCTGTTTTAAAATCAAGTTCTTGTGACATCCTAAAATAAATACAGCTACATGATTTATAAGAAATAGACCTTTATTAAACATGTATAGACTAGTTTCTTGTTAGGAAATTAAAAATTAAGAAAAGCTAAATTAAATTCATAAATTATTCTTATAAGGCAATTTTATATTAATAGTTATTTTGGTCTCCTCATTGCTCTGAGGTTGCCATCGCTTTCTTACTGTATTCTCTTTACAACACCAGCAGTTTGCTAAATTGTGAATGCAGCATTAAAGTTAAAGGGTGGACTGAATGTTAAAATTGTCACTACTTGTCATTACTGAGCCAAGAGGAGATTCAAACTGCATCTGGTACTTAGTAGATATATAAGGTCACCATAGTCATACCACCATCAGACTATGATCTTTTCTTGATGTTCTTGGTGATCTTCTTGTATTGTTCTGTACAAAAATGTGCGTAATGCTGAACTTAGAGACATCATCGTGGTAGAGAGAGGCCGTACACCAAGTCATAAAGCAGTAAAATCAGCACCTGATAGAAGTTTGTTTTTCCACAAGCATTAGAAAGCCTGGAGAGATGGAAAGCAGACTCCTCTAATTCAGCTCTTGGGGATTGTAGAGCAGCTGCCTGAAAATCCACCCCCAGATCCATAGGGCTTTCCCATATCAAAGGGGCGAGTGCCCCTGGGGGCCGGCAGCCATGCGCGGCAGCGCGCAGCAGCGCGCCCTGCGAGATTCGGGTAACTGCAGCACCGGGAGGACCTGAACAACTGTTGCTCAAGGCCAGACAGAGTTGAACAGCAGCACTGTTTTATGAGCAACACCAGCTGACAAGAGCATTAGAACCCCACTGCTTTCACCAATTGCTGTGACTTTACGGGGAGAGAAAGAAAGTTAGTTACTCATAGTTTACGCTCACGCTGCGCTTTTGAAGCCACGAGATGCCTTAAACGCAATACAGAAACAAACTGAAATGCCCTCAAACAGCTTTCATCACTACACAGCTCTGCTCAAGGACAGCCTTTTAAACTGGCAAAACGCCTCCGTGAATGGGTGTTTCCCACCAGCACGCTGAGCTGCACCGCTGCGCTGCGGGTGGGCTCTCACTAGGCGTTTGGAAGGGACACCAGCCAGCAGTGAGCACCTTCACTCTGCTCTGCCACCCTCCTGCCCGCCCCGCAGCTAGGAGAGTCACCCGCTGAAGACCAGAACACCCTGGCCTTAATGAAGAGCAGCCAATAACAAGGTTTGGGTTGAAAAGGGAATTCCACAGTGTTTTATGCTAATGGCCAAGACTATTTTTCTTGCCTCATTTTGAACAGTGGGAACATGGACACCAAGGGTGCCCTGGGAGGTCAGGGAGAGCTCTTCTCCCAGCCCTGCCACCATGCAAAAAGAGGGTCCCTCAGCCACATCGAGAATGCAGAATCAAACAATGGGAGCTGCAGTGGAAAAACGTAACACAATTTCTTCATTTCAAAAATCTTGGTATCTGGTAAAAACAAAGAGACCTCACATAAAGATTTACATGTTCTTAAAATACCAGTACACCTACACATCTACTGGGAGGTGATGCCTCTTCTGCTCGCTGACCTTAGCACTTGGGCTTTTTCCTGCAATTGTGCTTTAAAGGCAAGTTCTTGGCTGAATACATCAAGCAGATGTTGGACTTCATTTTCCCCTTTTTTTATCCTAAGAGCAACTAAAATCTGCTTGCAGTAAGGCATTTAATTTATTCATCTGTAAAGGGCAAAATATACATAAAGGCTATTTTTTTCCATACTATACCCTACTTAAGTCAATGCTTATATATAACACCACAATTCAGGCAAGTTTTGTTTAGTTTCAGGCTTTGTTTCCCTCTCCGCACCTGCACCTTTTGGGGAGCAACACAGTCCGATCTCTACAATCTCCTTGGAAAATTCCATTAAAAGCACAGAAGCATTTTTTTAGATACGCATATATTTTTAAATATGATCCCACCAAGCCATTAATGTCTGCATGATAAACTAGCAACTTTAGCTTTTGCTATTAATTTAACATCTAAAGGCAATTTTAGTCAACGCTCAGTAACACTTGGTTCTATAACTAATGATATAGTTCAAAAGCAGACTCTGACAGCTTAACCTGCACTGACCCAAACATATATAAAAACCTCTGGCTTTCATGTTAGACTGTTAGGCTGATGCATCATAGCTACAACAGTAAAATATTTCAAAATGTCTCTGCCAGTCATTAGGAGATTCAAAGAACACTTGAGAATTGTTCCCACTGGTTTCTTACAGCTATACAAACGAATATTATAATAATTGGAAAAGTCTTTTCAACAATGATTTGAAAATACTCTCTTGATGTTTGTCAACAAGTGTATTTTCCACAGAGCCCTTTATTCAGTCTCCTCTGCCCACTGAAAACAAACCTTATGCAAATTTTACCAAAATACATTTGCACTATCCTGCAGAACCTCCATTTGTATCTTGCAAAAGAAAGTTTTTCAAGTCAAAATGCTAGGCCACTTAAAATGTAGATGTTTCCATGTTACACTGGACTAGGCCAAGTATTGTCATAATTTAGAGATTTCTTCAGTATCTGGAAAGCTATACAACTCCTGTTAAGTTTGAAGACCGTAAAGAAAGCTGACATATATATATAGTAAGAAGTCTAAACATAGAGAGAACAACAACAGAGAGAAGGTATGATTTTAAAAGTAAAAGCTAATATATGCTATGTAGCAAAGATTTAAAAACTAAGCGAAGTAAATACGACAAAGATAAAAGTTGTAGTCTCTCAAATGTATTATAAAAAATATTTTCATGTACGCCTTCAGTGGTGTGTTCAGCAAGGAAGAGAAGAAATCTGAAACTGCGAGGGCAGTATCTGGTTGTGCCTCGGCTGAGAATCCAACTGAAGCAAAGATGGAAGGACGGACTATTACTACTGCTCTCTAACTGTTTTGCTAACATTCACAGGCAAACACATTCTGGTTTGAAGTTTATGAAATGTCATATGGTTTATCTTGTTATGGAACATCACACCAGTTTCTGAGAAAATGCCTGTATACAGGATAGGCACTGTGTGCTACAAACAGCATCTTTGGATAGTGCAACCATGTATAGCAAATCATATTCCCGAGACACTACTGCAAAAGAGACTTCTGTACCTAAACTTTTTTTGATACAGATTCGTTAGTTACTTTGTGTGTTGATCTCATAAGGAATTTTATGTTTGCGCCCTCTCACAAGAAGTTGGGATGCTTCATTTAAGAAATATGTAATTCTTTTCAGACTTCTAATATATTTTTATCTGCTTTGTTACTTGTTAGAACTATTTGCTTACCTGAATTAGCAAACAGTTTGTGATGGACAGTTACATTTTTCTGCAGATAAAATATCAGCCCTCAAAAAAAGTTAGTTGAGATAACTAATAAACTGTCAGTTAGAAAATACAGATCTGAAATGCAGCTCTTCTGTTTGCTTTCTCAGGTCCCAGGACTTGACCCTAGAAAGACCTGGCCCTGCCACAGGATGCAGAGAGGAACACCACAGAAGAAAATTATGCAATGGTACCAGACTGGGACAGTCAGGTGTCCTGACATGGAAAACCACATATCCTCATGTGGCCAAGTGCCACAAAACACCTACATGACCTTGGAGAGGTGACAGCAGAGACAGCTCCAGAAATGGTGAAAACACCTTATAACGGAAAAATGACATTCACAGCTCTCCAGCCTCCCTCTCTGCTCCTGAAAGGACCTATGTTAAGACTGGAGACAGTCAGCACAACCCAGAGATGATTTCAGAGTCATTTTCTGGCTTATGCGTTCCCCAGTCCAAAGAGCTGGATTACTCAGCATCCCCTCCACCACCATTGCTCCTTTTGGGGGAGCTGCATTTGAACGGTATGAATTCACAGGAGGTTCAATAGCTAGAGGTTCTGCACCTACTGTGAGCCGTTGGTGTTCCCATGTGCCATAGATACCCCCCAGAGAAGCATGTACGTACATGCAAAATATATTTAGATTGTTTTCCTATACATACACTCCTCTATTCCTAACACTTTCAAGCGGTGAATGATGGTTGGATGATCAGGATCTAAACACACCTCATTAACAAAGAAACTCTCCCTGCACTAAGAGCCCCACCACTGGCTTGACCTCTGAACAGGACCATGCAAGCAACAGTCCCAAAAGCAAAGAGCTTCTCTTTTACACAGGCAGGAGCAGTAACTGCTCTGGATAACCCCGTTCTTCACCTGCATTGTGCCTTCACACATGAATGCTCAGTTGAACAGATGTAGAAATATTTTAGAAAGGCTTTCAAGAGAAAGCTCTTATTAAAAATCCTAAACTGCACAGTGTGTGGAACAATAACACTGCCTGCCTGAAAATGTCATATCCTTGTCTGAACAGCCCAATACCTTATGTGCTCTGAATAAAGATAGAGATGTAATTGCTTTTCTTGTTACAACTCACTTGTGCATCATAGATTTTTTAATATCCTGCAGAACACATGTATTGTGGGAAGGAAGCAGGTGACAGCAGTAAACATACGTAATGTTATTTTTCTTTATGATAGACACGAGCAGAGAAGTCTAAATGATGGCTTAGGTTTTTAATAATCAGTTATGGAATCTTAGGGGGAAAGTGTGCATTTTGCCAAGAGCAAAATCATTAGAACTTTAACTCCAGCCATTGTGGGAAATTTCATACAGCTAATTGTAGCCATTAAGTGATAGGTTACGCAATGAAATTACTTCAGCCTCGTCTACGTTGAAAAACAGGATGCTATCAGCAAAGTAGCTTTTTCTGAGAATGAATAGGGTGTAAAAATGCTCAGTGATGTTAAAAGTCTAATGGATTGCCATGTAAGAGCAGCTGAGTTGATGCTATGCAGCTTTTGAAAAACCACGAGAAGGTGCAGAGGAGTACTGAAAGAACTGTAGCTGGCATCATCTTTTCAGTTTTCATATATATGGAATGTCTCTAAGTAATGTAAACTAAATAATTCCTAAAATGTTGATGAAGATTTAAAGCCAGACCACCCTACTTGGCACTTCACTAACACAAGAACAAACCGCATGAATAAATAAAAATTTACATTCTTGCAGAATCGAGTGTGTTAGCACACTGACATTCTGAAGATGATTTTTAACAGTACAAATAAGTTTCCCACTCTACCCTGCACACTGTCTAAACCCAATAAGCCCTTACTGCAAGCATCTTTCACAGCTTTGATCCAAGCCCTATGAACTTTTGGGCTGTAAGAGGGAAGGGTTCACAGATGAAGTCCTCCAGAAGGAAATCAGAAGTCTGTTGGTTGAAACCTTAGGCACGCACAGCATAGAAATGCCTGGGATTTCCCCATGTCTGTTCAGATATTGTTGCCTGATAGCTCCAGTTGGGCTGCCAGGCATCCTGAACAAATGTGGAAACTCTCTGATTCACCTGGAAAACTTTCCAGACAGGAGGATCGCTGTCAGTTAAATGCAGATCCATGGTAGACTAGCTGGGAGAAGGCGTATCCACAGTCGTGCGGTTCAATAGAATCACAGTGCCAAAAAGCAGAGGCAAAGGAGCAGCTGGCAGGGGTCAAATCCAAAGCAGTCACCAGACCTCTCACAGAGCCTGGCAAATCTGCCAGCCTCACCTCAAAGATTCACATTCCTAGCACATGCACACAGCACTATCTTTAAAAAAAAACACCACACTTTCATGTTTCCTTAAGCAATGAAATAATCCGAGTCTTTCTACAAAAAAACATACAAAGCATATTAACGTATTATTAATTTAATTAAAGCAGCTAATCAGTGTTTTGCATTTGTAAATTATGACCTCAAAATTTCTCATTATTAAATTGGAAAATCAGGAGCAAGAGGCACACCTGTATTGCCAGGATTTAACAAGTTTGCCTTAAAGCTGCGCCAGGTCATGGAGTGGGATCAACCCATTCATTTATATGATGCTGCTTCTGGCTGTTGTTGGAATTTCCCTCAGCTGTGAATAAATTCTAATGAAAAAGAAAGCTAAAGCAAATTCTTCTGAAATCCCCAAAGCTCTAGGCTGTTACAAATGAAAAACAGTTCTGATGAATTGAGAGACTACATTTCAATTCTAACCACATCCAAATACATTAAGCAAACTGGTATTAAAATATTGTCCTGGGACAGTATGAACTCTGCTACGTACATGGAAACCAAGGAGCATCCTTCTGGGATTGAAGTCTGAGCATAGGACCTCCAAAGGGTTTTCTACAGAAGGACTTAAGTGAGGGGAAACAAACTTATTTTGTTAATCCAGTGCTGATTTACAAGTATGTTAAGTCATTCATATAGATCTTATTTGGTTGTCCTAAATTCTTGTAGTCTAATCCTTATCAAAGTATTCAGTTACAGTGATCTAAGGCAACTACAGCCCCAATGGGAGACGCATCCTGGTGGTTTAACTCGCTTACACACATTGCCTTCACACCTCTGCTCAATTCCCCAGCTTTCCAAGACAAACCAGAGGGATCCTAGGCTATATAACATAGGTGCATATTCTTTTTTTTCAGCTGTACAGTAGCACAGATAAATCCTGTTAAGTCCCTAACAAATAATTTCTTTCTTTTTTTTTTTCTCTAGTCAGATCTTACAGACTCTCCTAATTCCTAAATATGTTATCAACCATTCAAGCCCTCCACTTCGAATGAATGCACAAAGTTTGCCTCCTCAGGGTCACTCGAAAGGTCCATCCATTACAACCTGTCTTCAGGTTTAGCCTTTTCTCCTGCAAAATCAACTTGATAAAAATCCACCTGCTTGTGCAACTCCAGCACGCAGCATTTTGACTTCACACTCACATATTCTGAGTGTGGGTCTGAGCCCTCCTGTTCTAGGTAGGAAAGACCACTTGGGACTACAGCTCCACCCTGTCTCTACAAGGGAATAATTACAGCCAGTTCTGAGGCAGTGCCAAGGGCAGAAACACGTGTCCCCAGAATACTTCCCTGCCTCGAGGAATTTTCAGCTCATGGACTTCCACAGTCACTGGTCTCCCTGTGCTGGATAGTCTGGAAAGCAGTTTCACAAATGTTCTTCATCTCATCTATTTTTTTTTACATTTACAATATTCTAACATTATACAACGAAAACCGAAATTTTAAGAAGTACATATGCAGATACAAAGAAGTGAAGATTTAACTTCATTAGGGTTCTTGGAAAATTACAATTCTAAAATATTTTCCTTTTCAGAATGAAGATTCTTTCAACAGAAGAATCTTCCTATACAGAGTTTATATAGTATTCTTATACAGAGGACAGTATTTCCAGGTCAGAGTAAAGGTATTCAACTGGGTGAGATAATTAAGTTACCACTGGAAAAAATTCTGCCTTTGCAGATAAATAGGATTTACATCTCATGGTGTTTCGCTTCACTAACTGAACTTCACCTAAACTGCTGGTCTTTAGTCTCCTACATTCTACCTTACCAAACATAAAATTTAAAACCACAAAAAGGAAAACCAGGCACATGTGTGTGTGTGCATAATCTTTAAAGCAGGCTACCCTGGTTTAGAAAAAGTAAAAATCCATTCCTTTTAATCAGACTGGTAGAAACCCAGAGCAGTTTACTAGAATTCTCAAAAGCAAACAAAAAGTGTTGAAAATCAGTTATGTTTTAGTTTCAAGGCTTGAAAAGACCTTAAGAAAATAAAGTTTAAAAAATGGGTTGAACTGAAAAAAGTTCCTTGGCAATGCTAGTGGGAACTATAATCATCCTGATTTAATTCCCTTGAATTTCAGAAAACTAATAATGGTTCTAAATAATTAGAAACTGTTATTACATTAAAATGCATGATACATACTGATTAGATCATATTAAAATGAAAAGATTAATTTGAATTATTTACACAAAAAAACCTCAAAGTGAGACAAATCCATGGACCATAAAGACAAAGAAAAGAATTCCTCTCATAGTAACAGCTCATCACACAAGTAACTTTCATAAATATTACTTATGTCTGAATTGCACCAAATAAAGAATTTACACAAAAAAATACCCATATGTACTTACTGCAATAGTCACTTAATGCCTTGGCTATCTCAGCTCAAAACCCATTTTTAAGCTACTAGATGCAACCCAATGACTTTGCATTAAATGCAAAATATTCAGTATATTACAAATTATCCAAGACTATGATGTGAAATGCTTTTGCGACAGCAGTTTTGTTTAATATTCATTGTCAGCTTCTCTGAGGATAGACTGAGAACTAATAAACTCAGAATACATTAGTATTATGATACACTACATAATTTATATGCAGTGTTTTATACTAGCCATAATACTTAGTACAAGGCAGGTACACTGAATACCAAAGAAAATACATACAAAATATATTTAGATATTAAACTAGATATGAAGATGTTCCTGCTGTACCCCTGGTTTAAATTTGTCTGTTCAACATGTAAGCTGGAGGCAACATTTCTACTTTTTTGGTGACTCCCTCCCTTCTCTGTAACAGCTGAAGCAAACTCCTGGCTCTAGCTTGCTCTGTGCCATGGTAACACTGAAGCAAATGCCATTATAACTTTCAGACAATTTGGTCCACAGCCCAAGTAATGCACAAATCTGGAATGAAACTGCTAACCTTCCTTTGTAGTATCTGTGAGTAGTCTTCTGTGTGGTTTTGTATCCAGTTGAACCTATAATTGCTTAAATTGGGCTTTGCATGATGAATGTTTTTCACAGTCAATAATTCACATAGCTGGAGAAAGCATTTGATAAAATGTGACTAAGGAACATAAATGCTTCTTAAGAAAGTTTCTGCGTTTCTCTCTGCATATGCGTGAGCTACTGGCTAGAAGAGAGATCAGACACAGTCCAATGCATTTGTAGGCTGGTTTCTTGAGATGACGCACACAGTGCGACTGCCAGTCCCCTCTCCAACCATAACATCTGCGCCTGCTGGCCGGCTTCAGAGAGGGAGCTTGAGTTTCCAGCAACATTTGTGACTCTAAATGCTGCCACAGAGAAGAGTGATTCTATTAACACCTACCCTGAAGAAACGCCAGTGAATGCTCACGGCACTTGCACAAGTGCCACGCGCATTGGAAAGCTTCAGTCACTTCCCCGGCCTCAGTCCCAGCAGATGCCCCAGAGGGCCATGCTGGGGGTACTTCGGAGAGGGCACAATGCAAGGGCAGTGGCTCACTGGGCAGCTGCCTCTAGTCCTGACATGGAGGGAGAGTGGCTGGCAGGGGCCTGGCACTGCTTGGGCATGGTAGAGGAGTTTCTAGGACTGCAGGGCATAGTGCAGGGTGTATGTCCTCCTCTGAGCATCCTTGGGAAGTCACAGTGGAGCAGGCCATCTTCAAGGGAGGATGGACATGAAGACATCCTCCACCCTGTTTTCCAGTACAGAATGGAGAGACAGGAAAAGGATGACCCAGGCATTTGGGGAAATACCTTTTTTCCTTCTGATTTTGTATTTATTGCCCAAGAAATGGCATTAGCACTTAGTCACGTTTCTTTCATGCAGCTCAGTTCAATCCTGGACAATCAGCACAGTCACAGCCCCCAGCAAAGTAAACCTGAGCGCCCCAAACACTTGCAAGAGGCGGCAGGTAGCTGTGCACACTGCGCTCAAACCCTCACAGAAAAGACGTACGGCATTAAAGCCACCCAGAATTCAGAAGATATTAGGAATGTTGCCCTAAAGTCTGTTGTGTTCTTGCTGTTGATCCTCCACTCTGTCAAAGTTTAGGTTCAATGAGCTTAGCATAACTACAAGGTGAGTCTGCTCTAATCTAATCTAATCGAATCTAATGGAAACCTGGCTCCAGTAGTCCTAGTGATTAAAAACAATACCTGTTAAACAGTAGTGGTAAACTATTATGCCTCTTAGTATTATTTATCTCAAAAGTAAGCAATCAACCTGAATTCCTTTGCACTTGTGAAATACTCAGATCTTCGGACCAAGTCAATGTACAAAAAAGTCATCAAGAGCAACAGAAAATAGAAAAGTTTCTAATACAGTTGTAGAAACATAATACATCATGCTTCTGCCTATGTCTTTGGCATTTACGCTCCTGGAAAGTGTTCTGGTTAACAAACAAACAAAAACCCAACCGAAAAGAAAAACCACAATCACCACACACACACAAAAACACAACCAAAAAATAGCTTTGTAACTGTGACAGCCAACTTAGATCTTGAGGAACTGATGGCAGGCATCTGACTTTGGTCAGGGGCCATCTCTTTCTTTCCTCAATTTTTCACATAACTGACATCAAGCTGACTTAATTCCCTTTGGGTGCAGATGGCAGGGACTGCTGACAATAATATGTGTAGCAAAAGACTCGGAAGAAAACAGTCAAGATGGGACTTCCATCAAATACAGCAGGAAAAAGTCCTAGAAGATGTCATCATCCCCAAAATGAAGTAGTTAATTCCTTCACTCTCATGTCCTTCACAGTTTTCAAGATAAGGAAATGAGACAAGGCATGGCATGGCGATACCGGGTTGAGCATTTGTTCTGTCAAAGTGATTTGCAAAAGTTAAAGGTTAGTGGCAGCTAGCACGCTCTGGATGTACAAATAAAGAATGACAATAGTAGAAATTTTAGAGAATCATGCAGCCCAAGGAAATACTACCACCAAAACACCAAGTTAAAAAAATAAGGCTGACAAACTTTCAAAGCACAAGCAGAGCCAACTTGGCATTTGGGCAGGCTATGGCTCAGTGAGATGACATTCTTTAATATAGACACATTAGCACTTTTAACGAGCAGTGGAGCAGAAGAAAGAAGAGGACATCTGCTTCTCAAAAAAGTTTGGCTCCTACAGAACAAAGGTAGGTCAAAGTCAACTGCAGAAGCACTTGCTGACTACTTGAGAAACTCATCAAGGTCTCCCTACCATTCATCCTCTTCTGCTGAATTGCTCACTAAACTAGTAACTTTTTTCTTTCTCTCTTCTCTTTAATGCAGTACCATCCAGCAAGAGGAGAAACACTGGGCCCCAACAATAGGGGACTTAAATCAGAATTTACTTGTAAGTATTGCATTTCAGGAGAAGCCAGTTCATTCTCTAGTGTAGACAGATGGCCATTACACGAAAGCTTGAATAGCTTTTCAACTTCAGGTTGAGTTTTCGTATGACAAACCTGAGACTGATAGCCTCTTTCATTGCACAAAATATATAGAATTGGCCATAAGTCTTTAAAGCCCTGATGTATTCCAGTCCATTAATTTTTACAGTTCAATTTATGTTGTATTACGAGGAGATGTGCTGAACTGCCCGAAAGTACAGATTTGCCAAACTATCCAAAAATAATCTGGAAAGCAAGAAAGTCAGGATACCAGCCAAATCATAAGCAGTAGGGCCATTTTGCTACCAGTTCAACTGGTAATAAATTTTTTAAAGCACTGTTAAATGTATCTAGATGAATTCGACTTTAAATCACACTTTCTGCTGAATGTTTAAAGAACCATCGATTTAAAATGAAACATACACACAGACAATCGATACAGGCTCAAGAACCACGTGAATAATGACAACACAGACATCTTCACTTTTAGCTTTGTTCAACATAGAATTAAGCAAGAGATTACATTGCCACATAGTAATCAAAAATGATTACCTGTACCAGAAACACAGCTTCTGGGTGAATTCTACAATATGGAAGAGTTAGCTGGCAAAGACAGAAGTCTCAAGGAAGCAGAGCTAGTGAAAGATGATGTAGCATCATTGCCATCACAATACATCTTCCTACCGTAAAGGAGTGAAATACTGTTAAATTAAGCTTATCTTCTGGAAGTCAAACACATGTTGGGACTTGATATTTGCTTACTCTAAAATTTACATGACAACTGAAGTATTAGCCAAATGCAGAGTCATCACATAAGCAGCAGAGAGCCTGTCTGATCACTTCCATATGAAACCATGGCAGGTAGTGAAGGTTTGAATTATTTCTGCTTCTTGTCTATGCAGTAGCTGATAGAGAATGCTAGGCTCCAGGGCCATCACTGTGTTGCTTTTCAATTCATCCATATTCATGGGACACTCTGAGAGTCACTTCCCTCACTGACATCTCATATTTCTTCTCGGACTTCCAAAGTGCATAGCTATCCATAATCCCTCTTGAAAATAGGACAGATCAAAAATACTACGAACAGTTAATAAATATTGGGCTGGCTAATTAAGTACACAGTGAAGAGCATTCTGTAGGTTTTTACGTGGGTGCATTGTGATACACTCGTGTTTTGCACTGCCTTTAAAAACAAACGAAGAGCAAGTTTGTGCTAAGTAACCACAATAAATTAAAAATTAAGAGAACCTGCATATAGAGATGTGTTTGGAAACATGCTCTCAAATGAACACAAAAACTATATCAGCTCGTTATTTGAAGACTATTGTATATTAAATACCTTCTCTCGTCCAGTATCATTTAGGCCATTTTATAAGCAGCTTTAGCAATCTGCTGCCATGAGATGTTCAAATTTATTCAGATTCAGCCTTTTCAGGTCAAGAAAACGGGCTTTTAACAGGTGGCAAATTAAAATGTCAAGAACAATCATATACACACTTGTTTACAAGACTGTTATTATTTTGTCCAAGAAGGTTTGTCTTTCTCAGGAATTGCTGTGCTAACATTTTTGCTATAAAGGAAAGGTACTTGATAACATCAACAAATTTTTGACACCTTGACTTAAATTGCAAAATTCTTAGGCAAGGACAAAGTCCCTCAAAATTCTCAAATCCTTCATGCTCAATTATAATAAAGCAAAATGTTGTAAGCAAAGTGACAGACATCTGCATTTTTAAAAAGTGTATCTAATTGTCTCTCACAGAAGGAAGATGGGGAGATGACCTTCAAATCATGCTGTTTATAGCTGTCATTTTTTACTGGGCTCTTTGACTGTATTCAGAGACTTTGCTTAGCATATTCATTTTCCATTAAAAAATAGGAAGTACCATAACTACAAATCCCAATTCACAGGCACAAGATGAACACAGATTTCAGAAAATCCTGAAGAAAATAGGCCAATAACATGTCCTATGCAATGTTTTATGGTAATTCATAGACTGTCAAAAGACCATATGCTGGCCTCTACTTATGTAGAGAACAATTTGCCCATCACTAGAATCCTTTGAAGTCACATCCTTCTTCCCTTCAGATGTCTTCAGTAGATGAGAGTGAGAAATTTCTCGATGGACTTAATCTGAAGCCTATTCCGATCAAAGGAAAAAATACCATTTGGGCTACATGGAGCCCTGTATCAAGATCTCCATGCCCGTTTTTGCCGGGACAGTAAATTATTGGAATAGGACAAGAAACAACAAATATCATACTTCTGTGAGTAAAAGTATGCAAATGACATATGGGGTAATGACTATATAAGATAAGCTTTATGCTGCAGAAAAAGAAAATAAAACTACTCTGTTCTCTATCAGCTCATATTACAATATTGAAGTGATATGTAACATGATTTTAATGTGGTAACTTCCAGTAGTTAAATGGTTAACAGCTTTTACTGACAGATTTGATTTTCCATCTTTTCTGCACAGAGATAAAAGCAATGGAATGTCTTATTTTAACAGACACTTTGGCTTGTGTTGCTCATGTATATAAAGAAATCATTATACTTTTATTTTAGAGGAGCTAAATCAAAAAAATGCACTTTGCAAGTGGCTATGTTAGAGGTAATGTTTATGGCACTATCTTAAAAACATACAAGTGAGTCAGAAACTTTCATTAAAATCTCACTACATGGTAATCCATCCCAAGCAAGCAATCTATTTTCCTTTGAATTGACAGGTAAAAAGAACCTATGATTTCACTACTGCTGCTTGCCTTTGTAAGAGTAAGGAGCTATGCTGAAGGTGGAAAACTTTCAGTGCCGTATCTCTCCCTCCCTGTTGTTTGAGTAATGCTAAATATTCATAAGAGGGTTGTTTTGTACCATTCTTAGTTATTCCAAACCTACACATCCAAATCTTACAAGGGATGAGGTAGCCACTGAGATAACACAATGGGGTAGATTCAATACTTTCATATGACTGAAGCCCATCTTCTTGCCAGTAATTCTATGTATCTTCAGGAAATAAAATACAGAAAAACGCTATTGTGGCTTTTGATGAACACATTCTATTTCTTTTTACATTAATTTTTAAAAGTTTATTGTAAACTGATTGCTTGTATTTTAAAGCACCCAACCCAACTAATCCATGATTCCTAGGTATTACAGTAACAGCTGTAATAGCGACTACGTGTACACTTAGACAAGAATTTTAAGCTCTCAAATGGTAGCTTCACAGATCTTTATTTTTCACTCATGGATTTTAAAATGTTTAAAATAGTATTTAAGCTTTTAAGTATGTTTATCTAACTAATTCTGTAGATAGAAAAATTTAGACAGGCAGGTCAAACAAGTCCATAGCAAAGTAAGATTCAAGTCTTAAAGCCCTCACTCACATTAATCATGCAATCTCAAATGCACTGTGCAACTTTTAAAGGCATTGCATTTAGTTCTGTCAAAGACAATTCAGAGACTCACACAGAATAAGCTACAAAACATCCTCTACGTCAATTCTTATCTTAAGGCCTCTTTAACTAGCAGGTCAGCAACATAATAAACCACAATGGCTCCCTTAGTAACCATCAAGCCAGTGTGCAGAGCAGATTGGGAATTTTTTTTTCCTTTTAAACAAAACTGTGATTATGTTTTAATTCCAGGTACTAATATTTCTTTCAGATTTATCTGCTGAGGTCTAGATCTGGCATATAAGTTTCAAAAAGAAATCACAAAGTTTTATTATCAAGTTTGTAAATCAGAAAAAGTGATGCTACAGTCCACAATGAGCAGAGGAAATTACAGGCAGTTGTCACATTTTACCCACATACCTTTGCATCCCAGGCTCCATAAGGAAAACACACCCTCCTGGGTAAGATGAACTGCTGGAACAAAAAGCCTCATTATGCAAGGGGGCTGAGTGCCTCACCTACCTCTGAACTCAGTGGGGGCTGAGACACTCAGCACCTTGCTAGATTGAGCCCAGAGGCATTATCAAGTCAAGATTTCAGTGAAAAATAGTTCCAGCTCTCAGACTTATTGAGGAACTGCATTGTCTTAATTTAAACAGCAAAGAACCTTGGGGAGACCAAATTTCTGCTGTTACAATGCCTGCTAAGGAGGTCTGAATGACATCAATTAAGAGGAAACTTGGCAGGATGTAATCTGTTAATTTTATGCCATTTACATCCATTCTCTCAGCAATGCCAACTGGCAGCATTTGAACTGTTTAAGTTCTCTTTTTCTCCTTCTGTCTCTGCTGCACAGGATTGCAAAAGCTTAAGTTGTAAAAGGAAGCCTCGGCAGCCATTGTGACTCCAGGCTTCAGTGGGTCTTCCTATGCCAAAGAATGTCACTGGCATCACTGTTATTAACTCTCAAGGAGCACACTATTACTCCCAGTACATCTGTTACTGCCAGGATTCCTGCGTGCTCGTGTGCATTTCCCCTTCTCTGCACCTCATGAACCTCCATACCTCATGGGTGTATCTGCCTCTGCCCTCAGAGATCCTCTACTGCAGCACATCATCAGTAGACCCGCTAAAAACATGCCAATAACCACAACATCACAGCCCAGAAGAAAATCAGGCTAGATGTCACTTCAGTCAATCAAACTCCTTAAGGAGATTGGTACAACATCATTTGGCTTCATCTGCATTTTCTATCTATTTCTGATTGCTGTGAGAAAAGTTGTTTCACGTCTAATTCCAGATACAACTAAATAACAACCATAAATAAAATAAAACCCTGGGAAAACGTTTCTACAATAGTCATGGTCTGTCTAGTGTTGGAGCAAAATACCATATTGTATCTGTAAATTATTACTGGTATCCAGCAGGCTGAAATAGTGATTCATGTGATTTCTCTGGTTTCCCCTGTCCTCATTCCATAAGCTTCTCTTTCCTTTTACGGCCCTGTTCTCCGTTTGTTCAGGTTCCTGAACAACTTGTCTCTCATCCCTACTGCAATCGCAAATACTCAGCTGTCGCTCCTTTCCCTTCATGGCCAGTAGTCAAAGGCACTAAAAATTCTTAACTGGCACCACACATTCCCAAACTATTTATGCAAACATTACATTTCCTGTTTTGACTCCAAACCTCTCGTGTTGTTTTCCTCTTCCTCAATTAAAAAGACACTCCCCTCCTCGTCATTATCAGTACCTTCTTTATCCAATCCCATTTTTTTCATTCAGATAAATTAATTAGTACTAGACTAAAGCCCTTAAACTACTTAGATTTTGGGATGGATAAGATGGATTTTGAAGGGAAAGATTTACTAATGTGCCAGTCACTGCCTCAAACCTATTAAAGCTTCACCCAATTTCACACACACAGACACAAAGAAAAGTTTAGGAAAGAGGTTTTTGCTTCAGAATTTTCAGTGAGGTGGCTCTTCGAGTTTAAAACCACTTTTTGGTGAACAAAACACAAGTATAGCACTGAAGCCTTCTGATGCCACTGAAGACACCAGGTATTTGTCCCTTTATTGCTGAGTGTTCATTTAAGCCGCATCGTTCTCTGAAATATTGACTGGAAATAGTTCAGTTGCATAAATACAGGCATTGCTTAAACTCTTGTACTTCTAACACGGGAAATAAAATGGGTGCTACTTGCTACAGAGGGTGGACATCAGTGCAATTAGTCTTCATAAAGATTGTTATAGTGAAAGAAGAGAGACTGGGGTTAATATTCGAGAAGATTTTATGTTGACCTTTTATCAAAAAAAATTGTCCTGTATCACAGAGGGTTTAATAGCTTGCCTGAAATAAAGGTTAAAATACCCCAGGCTCAGTTTTAAAGTATTCAATTACATAGTATTTTCGCTTACACACAGGATTCTTGTTATAGTTAATTCTGAGCCAAATAGAAGCACCGGGAAATTAAAAGCAGCAATATCTGGACAATGTAGCATGTGGCTTTACTGCAGATTGCAGTGGTTTCTTTTGATATAATTAGTGCTGAAGTCTACTCCTTAGCAGCAAGCACACTCCATGTAATGCACGAGCCAAGGGAAAAGAAAGAACAAGGAAGCCAGATATCTTGGGTCAGCTGGGTGGCCAAGTACGAAACTGTTACTGAGAGCAGATCTGAGGAGCCTGTCATCATTCTCATCTCCCATGAGCTCCCTTTGGAGAAGAAGGCAGGAGACGCACAGCAACGATTCTCCTGCTCCCACCACCCTCTGCACACACATGCCCACACGCCCTCAGATCTGCAAGCTCAGAGCTCTCACTAGGACTTCCAGTGGCTGAGCTTCCCTCCTTTGCCAGAAGCAAGAAGCGTCTCACAGAGATAAAAAGGTGTGTTTTACTGCTCAGAAAATTGAGAAACATTCAAGTCTTATTTTACTACTTCTATAACAACAAATTACATGTTAACTCTAGAAGGCTACATTTTATACAGTTCTGTTTCACGCAATGTGTTTGAAAAGCTGTCAAAATGCATCAATAACTTACCATTATCTACCCTGCAGGAAGCATCAAGGTACTCGGAGAAGCTTGCATTGTAATACAAGATAATTTTCAGGTGAGTTGCAGGGGGGAAAGAAGGCTATTAGGACACTATTTATACCATAAACCCTTAATAATTCAAGAGCTTCAGCAAAAGTAGAACTTAACCTGCAGTTTGTAGAAAAGAGACCAATCACTTAAAAAATCATCTAGCTCAATTTCGCTAACTAACCACCTTGGGTCATCAGTTCTGGCAAATACAGACTCATTGTCCCCAAACATGAGAACTTAAGTCTAGACCCATCCTGACTTATATTTAAGGGAACATCTCAAACAAGGATTTACTTTAGAGTTAGTAAAACCATAGTGTTAATCCAATTTCACAGGTGCAGCCAACCAATTTATTACTCCAGGGAAAAGTATTTTTTCCAACTTAATGATGAATTAAGTAAGCAGTGATCTCAATTGCCCATGATCAAAAATGTCTGTCCCTAGTAGCTAATTAGTAATATTTACTTGCAATGTCACAAAAGTGTTATCACAAGGTTGTTAAAACTCACGTGTTTTTTTAATTTTTTTTAAGATAAAAGTCACCAAGTATAAGAATAGTCTCCAAAGTTTCATGAATCTGACTACAGTAAGATGTGCATTTAAAGTAGCAAATAAACTGTGAACATTTCTTAAAGACTTGCATAAATATTTACACTGCTCCTGGACAAATAACACTTGTGGACAGGTCAAACAGGGCACAAGTTCCACAAACTTTAACACTATCATGGATTAACTCAC